TATTTCAAATATATATTGTTTTAATTCAAATGCACATTTTATTACAAGCCGATCTACTATGTATGATACATATTTTTTTCTATTTTAAATATTTAAATGCAAAAAATTCAGTATCTAATCAATCTTATAGGGGAAAAAATAATATTTCAAAATATTAATGAAAGTTTACAACAAGATGAATAATTCACATATAATATACACAAGAAAAACTTATGAATTCATATGTTATAACTTAATTGCAAAACTTTTTTAATTATTATACGATAACATCAATCAATTTATTATAAATTTATAATCTTTTCACTTTTAACAATAAATAAGTTAAAGTTTTACTCACTCATCAATATCGCATTAAGAAGACTTAATTTATTTTAATATGAAAATTATTAAGACATCATTTTTATTCTCAATTATATTATCTACATCAATGCCCAAATGTACTACTATTTTTATTACAAGTTGAAAATACTTATTTTGATTATATTGTGAATAATTATTTTTATTTTATATTAATTATTTAATATTTAAAAGAATATACTAAATATTTATTTATTTTAATTTTTCATGTTAATATATAAATTTTATCGGAACCAGGACTATGTGGTCTAATGGTACCCGGGTTGGACTTCCATTTGAAAGATTATGAGTTCAAACCTCAGTGGATGTGTTATTGGTTCTTTGTGTTTCAGTGGGTTGAGAAAGTATATGAGCAGATACTACATTGTAATAAGATCGCATATTATTATTAGGTGCATATTATTATTAGTTATAATCTACATCTATCTACAAATCTAATAAGTGCCAATAATGTTAGGCCTTTAACTGGAACAAACAAAATATTGATTGTAATTGTTTCTTAAAATGAATGGTTCATATTATTTTGATTAGTATATTTTAATGATTTTCCTTATTTACCCTCTAATATATTATTTTCTTCCTTAAATAACCCTAAATTCCATTAGTATAAACTTTAGTAACGGAATATTCCGTTAACTATTTATTATTCTTAACTTACTCATTATAATCTACAATCTACAAATCTAATAAGAGCTAATAATGTTAGGCCCTTAACTGGAACAAAAAAAAATGTCAGTAGTAGTTGTTTCTTAAAATGAATGGTTCATATTATTTTGATTTTAGTATTTTCTTAATGATTTTTCTTATTTACCCTTTATTATACTATTTTGTTCCCTTAAATAACTCAAAATTCCGTTAGTATAAACTTTAGTACCAGAATATTCCGTAAACTATTTATTATTCTTAACATACTCACTAATTTATATAAGAAAGGTCTTAGGTTCGAACCACATCCCAATTAGAGTTGACACAATTTTTTTTTTTAACAGAGTTGACACAATTGTTAAACATATATTATGAATACTAGTTTTTTTACGCGCTTTGAGCGAATGGGATAATGCCCAATTATTATTTTTTAATAAGTACTTCAAAGTATATCAATGTTGAATTTGTTTATTTAAATCGGTAATTTAAAATATATAAATGCAATATAATATATGAGAGATTGATTATAATTGTTACTAAAATAAATGTTCGCAACTTTGTAATAACGCTAGTCTAGCTAAATATTTAGTCTAAAAGCGATAGTCTAAATAAATACTACTTTTGGTTTAAATTTCTCTAATTCTTCTTAGTTCTCTTTTGGGTATCATTGTCATTGTCTTCATCTTCAGTACATGTCCCTTTTTTTTATTGGTAGTATGTCATTTGCAATTGGATTACTGGTGGTAACATAGAAGGATTCATCATGCAATGAGATTATGGTGTATGAAACTTTAGATTTGCATTACTGTGTACATAACTGGGATCTTAGTTGTACTATGAACTCTTTACCTTGCAAGCATCTGTTGATATTTGATAGTGGTAGTTTTTTCCCTACATGTTTCATGTATTGTGATATGTGTGTCCTAGGTTATCATGTGAAAGTATTGAACAAAATATTAATATTTATTATATTTGTATAAAATACTTGTAACCATATATTTTGAATTAGAGAAAATTTCAATTTTGGTCACATGACTATATGGGCATTGTTAATTTCAGCACCTAACTTTCAAAAGTGTCAATTTAGTACCTTGACTATGTAATATTTGTCAATTTTGGTCATTCCGGCTGAATTGACGGTCAAATTTGACTGGAAAAATTTAATCAAACATTTAGTCTATAATCTGAGGGGCAAAATCGTCTTTTGATCCTTTCTAGACTAAATGTTAGATTAAATTTTTTCGGCCAAATTTGACCATCAATTTGGCCGGAGTGACCAAAATTGACAAAAATTACATAGTCAAGGTACTAAATTGACACTTTTAAAAGTTAGGTGTTAAAATTAACAATGCTTTATAGTCATGTGATCAAAATTGAAATTTTCTCTTTTAAATTATTTATTATCATCTTCTATTGACAGCAATTGTCATTGACAAACTCTCAAAACAATGTCTCAAGAACAAATAGAAATTAAAAAAATTAATGATTTCATTATTGTGGATGAAAAGTATGTATGCCACTTTATTACTCTTATTAAATTATTAAATAAATTAGTATATACAACAACAAAAATACATATGCATTTAATTAATTTAGAATTAGATGTCTATGTGCATTTATTTAAAAAATTTATTCATTATAAAAAAATTTTAAAAAAGGTATAATTTCATTATTTATATTATCTTTATTTTCAACAATTCAAAGATTCCTTACCCTCAAATTTATTAATTTATTATATTCACTACATTGTCCATTGTCATCATTTTACATTATTATTTTGTAATTTTTTTTTTTTGAAGAGACATTATGTTGTAATTAAATATCAAAGTTATAATACAAAATATGTTTATATATATATATGAAAAAGTTCAAATACGGTGAGGCACTCCCGTGCGGCAATTTTTAGAATACACCAACAGTGTTAACAATATGCACCAACAGTGTAAGGGAAACACACCATAATAAAATGCAAAAATACACAACATACTCAAAAAATACATCATATACCTTCCTACCACTAATGGTGTATTTCCGAACACTGTGTGATGTTTTTACTCATACCTAATGATTTGTTGTTGGTGATGCGTACCTAATTTGTGTGTGTTTTTGTAGTGCATTTCATAACGTTGATGGTGTATATCTTGCTTAACTATTGGTGTATTCTGAAAACCGTCGCACGACAGCACGGGAAGGGATCGCCGCACCTGAACTCGACTATATATATAGGAAGGTTCAAGTGCGGCGGTGCTGTTAGGTGCGGCGGTGCGGTCAATTGTAGACCATTAGATTAGATAAATCCAACGAATCACATTCGTCAGGGCTTCTTCGATATTTTCGCGCACGTTCTCACTCTACGCGAACTGCAAGTCTAAAGTCATCACTGGGCACCAAAAGAGGGCAAATCATAGTGTTTGTGTTTTATGTTCGTTATTGGTGCATTATTAACCTTACTCGGGTGTATTTGTGAATTCGTGTTGGTGCATTCCCGTGCGGTCAGTGCGACTGCACTAATAGTTATACAAATATACACCATCCATGTTAGAAAATGCACACCAAAAAACATGCACAAATTCGGTACACATCACCAGGACACACCATTAGGTATGAATAAAAGCACCACACAGTGTTCGGAAATACACCATTGGGGTGGTGAGTTATATGGTGTAATTTTTGGGTGTGTTGTGTGTTATTTTGGTGTATTTGTGCATTTCATTGTTCTGTTTTTCCTAACACTATTAGTGTCTTTTGTTAACACTGTTGGTGTATTTTGTTAACCGTGTTGGTGTATTCTGTTAAACGACCGATATAAATGACCACTATAATTACCATAATACCCCCACTTACCAAGACGCACTTAAATCTTCAAATCTTCAGAAATTAGCCGCTGCCGTCAGATTAAGCAAAATAGACGATGCTGATATGACCGCACTGCCGCACCTAAGGACCTTGCCGCATATGAGCCTTATATATATATATATATATATATATATATATATATATATATATATATATATATATATACACACACACACACACACACACACACACATACACCAAGTATTTTATACAAATATAATAAATATTACGGAGTAATATTTTGTTCAATACTTTCACATGATAACCTACGACGCACATTTCACAACACATGAAACATGTATGGGAAAAACTACCACAATCAAATATCAACATGTGCTTGTAAGATAAAGAGTTCATAGTACAACTAAGATTCCAGTCATATACACAACAAAGTAAATCTAAATCTTCCTACACCATAATTTTCATTGCATGATGAATCCATCTATGCTATCACCAGTAATCCAATTGCACATGACATACTACCAATAAAAAAAGAGGACATGTACTGAAGATGAAGACAATGATAATGCTACTAAAAAGAGAATTAAGAAGAATTAGAGAAATTTAAACTAAAAGTAGTATTTATTTAGACTATTACTTTTAGACTAAATATTTAAATTACCGTTAAGACCTTGTGATCTAATGGTACTCGAGTTAGACTTCTATATAAGAGATTGTGAGTTTGAAATTCAGTGGAAGTGTTATTATTGGCTCTTTGACCTTAGTAGGGTTAATCTTGATTTTACCAAATAATTTGCCGGATATGGTCGGCACGAGGAGAAGTGAATAAGAATGGATTATTTGCACATATTGGGTAAATAAACAATTTTTTTTCTTATTTCCATTATTATTTTTGGCAAATAAAAATCACCGAATATTCTTCGCTAACCAAGAGCACGTGGCGGAAGGGACCCACGTGTCACACCTAGCTGTAGCTCTCCACGTCAGCTCCCTTACACCTGTCTACGGATCCGTACCCGGATCCATAACCCGCGCCCACCTCGCTATTAATAATTTCTAAATGGGTTTGTCAATTGTCATGGCAGTCAACGGATCGATAAACACTGGTAATTTAAAATTAAAGAAATAAAATAAAATAAAATAAAAACACTTGGGAAAAAATATCGCCTAGAATTTAGAAATTGGAAATCACTATGAGGAAAACAAAAGAAAATTCTAAATAATATCGCTAATAATTCGGAGCTTAGTAATACAGCTTAGCTTTTCTTCTTCTTCGGGTCCATATATCCATCTATCCATCTCTATCTGAATCTTATACCTGCAGATTACACGGACATTTCTGTCAATTGCTTGAAGTTTTTTCAGGTGGTTTTCCGATCGACGGTTTGTTTTTTTCCTTTTCCGGCGGCGGCGGAGGAGGAGGAGGAGGAGCATGGCCTCCGGTCAGAAGAGTTACTCGCTGAATCCGGATGACTACAAGCTTCTAGAAGAGGTCGGTTATGGCGCCAGCGCTACTGTCTACAGAGCGATCTATCTCCCTCTCAATGATGTTATCGCCGTCAAGTGTTTGGATCTCGATCGCTGTAACAGCAATCTGGTTTGTCTCCTTTCACTGCTGAAACTTTATTATCAGCTAAGCTATTGCCTTGCGTGAATCGAGGTTTGGTGGATTTAGTTATCAAGTTCTGGCTTTGATTTGCTCTGGTATTTAAGTTGAGTATCATTTGCTGTATATATCAAAGTTATTGACCTTGTAAGTACAAGTGTGGAGATCACAGAACACGGGGTATCACAGTTTGAGTGGATGGCTGAGCGTTTGGCAAGCTGAATTGTAGATTACTATTTTCATTTAGATAGCTGAATAAGACTAGATTTATGCGAAAGTGTATAAGTGTATTTTAGTCTTTCAGTGGTTTACATAAGGATCCCCTTTATTCGGCCAGAGCTAATGTGTAATGTTAACTAATTTAATACTAACTAGCAAAATGTAAATGGCAAATAGATTTTGTCATGCTAGCATTACATTGGTCTTTTGGGCATAAACAATGACTTTAAATCTAAAGATTGACATAACACAGGGAAACAAACAACAATAACATTTTAAATTGGTACAATCTAATTACAAATTACAGTATCTAATTTAGTTCCTTACCAGTGTTCAGTTGTTGGTCTCAATTCTTGGCTTTACAGCTGCACAATTGAATGCTGTCAACCCTCATATGTTGTTGGAATCTTCTGACTAGTTTTTGCATTTTGAAACTTTCTGCACACTAATCTTTAAACGTTTAGATTAGCATGACCACATAATTAACATTTCTTGTTATAAAAAGAAAGAACAATTCATCCATCTTCTTCAGCTTTTTTGAAAATGTTTAATTCACCTTGATGGAATTTGTGATTCTTGTTTTACACAATTGAAGAAGAAATTTGCTCTTAATGTTGATGCATTATTGATTCCAAATTATTAGCTAAACACAACATAATGCATTGGAATTATTAACCACATTATTAGCTACAGAATCAATATTTCAAATACTGTTTGTCTGGAATTTAATAATAGAAGATTCACATCTGGAAGACTTAGTTTTTAGATTAATTGTCAATTTGTCATATATGATGGAGATTATTATTATTTTTTTGATGAGTTTTATTTCTGCAGGATGACATACGCAGGGAAGCCCAAACAATGAGTTTAATTCATCATCCCAATGTCATTAGAGCATTTTGCTCATTTGTTGTTGGTAGCTACCTTTGGGTGGTTATGCCCTTTATGGCCGAAGGTTCTTGTCTGCACCTCATGAAGATAGCATACCCAGAAGGATTTGAAGAGTCTGCTATTTGTTCTATACTTAAAGAAACGCTCAAGGCTTTGGAATATCTTCATCGGCATGGCCACATTCATCGAGATGTTAAGGTCAGTTCATTCTGGCATTTCTTCCCATTTGCAGGAAAATCTTGGTTTGTGATCCTTTTTGTTCTTCAAGTTTGCAATTACCAAGATTCTTATCTAACATGTGCTGGTGCAGGCTGGAAATATACTCTTAGACAGTAATGGGGAAGTAAAGCTTGCTGACTTTGGTGTTTCAGCATGCATGTTTGACACGGGCGAGAGGCAGCGTTCCAGGAATACATTTGTAGGAACTCCATGCTGGTGAGCAATTAAAACCAGCAGTTCCTCTATTTCCTTCTGTGAAGGTTTCTTGCTGTTTTAACTTACTGTTAATATATATTCCAATTTATTTTGTTCAAAGGATGGCACCAGAAGTTCTGCAGCCTGGAACTGGATATGATTTCAAGTAAGGTGTTTTTATTTTTCATATCCAGTTATCAGTTTCTTTTATGTAATTTATGGGGTTTCTCCCCTCAACCAAGCACCCAAGGCTTCCATATGGTGTTTTAACCCCCTTGCAGAGTACTGAAAAAAATCTTTAGGCCACAAAATAATTTCTATGTGATTGTTTTTTTTTTTTTTTTGAAAAACACATATATAGAAAAATTGGATTAAAATAAAGAAAATGAAATGAAGCTGAATGAAATTCATGAATGCTATGAAAATGTAACGAAAGCCTCAGGAAGTCATCAACATTCATGTACTTTCATATTCTTGTACATCTATATATGGCATATCCAAGTTCATATGTTTGTGTATTTATTTATTTGGTATGCATTACACTGAGTATGAATATAATAATGTGGTCAAAATTATTAATATGACCACACTAAAAATTTTTAAACAATATATACAAATGGGGTTGGCTTTCATATTATATGGAGTGTATATTTTTTGAACCCACTGAGCCAAAATCCTTTAGTCGCTACTGTCTATATATACTCCTAAAACAATGTATTGTAAATGTGTGGAATATATTTTATTAGGTCACAGTATTAGAGGCCAGCTATATATATTTTATTACTGTCTATATATACTCCTAAAAGAATTCTAGCAGCTAGAATTCTTCCGTATAACTTACGGTTCTACAATTGCTGTTTCCTCCTTTTTCCTTCGTGGTTCTTCTTTTCTTCCATTAATGCCTTCCCCCATACAAACACAGAACATGAAGCTGTCTCCCGAGCTTTCCTCATCTGGTCTTTCATTGCCCACTATCAACAACTCTGTTACTCTAGTCCTATATCAATGTACATGTAACTTGGACTTAATATTAATGTTAATTGCCTGTAGTATTATTTATTTTTGTGCAATGATATATACACATTTACAAGATATGTGTCAGTTGGATACATAATTAAGAGAAGATTGAGTTTTTTATTCACATATGCATAAAATTTATTTGTCATTCTCCTTTAGGGCTGACATTTGGTCTTTTGGAATAACTGCACTGGAATTGGCGCATGGTCATGCACCGTTTTCCAAATACCCCCCAATGAAGGTATATATTACTTGTAAAGAGTCAAGAAATATATTCATACAAATACTACATTTGCTTTAGCATGAATTGACTACCAAGTTATTTTCATCCACTTTCTCACTGTAGGTTCTCCTTATGACCATACAAAATGCTCCTCCAGGACTTGATTATGACCGTGATAAAAGATTCTCTAAGGTAATTCTATTACTTGTGGGAAATTCTCAAAATGATTTGCATCAGCAGAAGTTTTAATTTTCAAACATCATTTCAAAAGGAATTCATGGAGAAAGTAATAAAGGCATTTTTGCCTATTGAAGAAAAAATTAATAAAGTGGAGTAATTTTTATTTCTTGTTTTAATTAGGCTTTCAAAGAAATGGTTGCAATGTGTTTGGTGAAGGACCAAACCAAAAGGCCCACTGCAGAGAAGTTGTTGAAACATTCTTTTTTCAAGAATGTCAAGCCTCCAGAGCTGTCTGTAAAGAAACTCTTTTCTGACTTGCCTCCACTTTGGAATCGTGTCAAAGATCTCCAGGTATTTGGTCATGGTCTTATTCTCTAGTTTCCAAGTTTTGTTTGTTTAATATCTTCATAACTGTTCCTTTGGGGAATGTTGCAGGTTAGAGACGCTGCTCAACTTGCTTTAAAGAAGATGCCTTCAGCAGAACAAGAAGCAATATCACAGGTTTGAGACAATCGTTCTTATCACCAACATAGCTCTTCACTATGTGGTTGAATTGGTAAACTGTCATGACTTTCCTTCATTGTCTCTGGCACAAAGCTATAGTGCTATTGTTTTATTATTCTATGGAGTGAAAATATGCTAAAATTTCTTCCTTAAGAAAAATAATGATGAACAATTTTTTCCCATTCTGATTGATAAATGATGTGAATATTTATCCAAAAATAATACAAGAGCTGATTTCTTCCATAATCAATGTGCCCTTATCTTTTTTTTTTCTTTTTTTTTTTTTGGAATAACCTAGATGCTTGCTGTTTTTTTTTTTTTCTGTCTCCTGTCCTAATTTTTTTTTAATATATATAAAATTTAACCCAGAGTGAATACCAGCGAGGTGTTAGTGCATGGAATTTTGATCTTGAAGATTTGAAGTTCCAGGCATCAATGGTATGAATGTGTGATATCTCTGTCAGACTAATGCCATATTGTGGCTTAGAGTTCTGTCTTCGGTAGAAAGTCTTGTCATTTTATTGCATTGTCACAGGTGCCAGATGAAGACGAAGTACAGGAAGTGAAGGAAGAGGATGAAAATATGAAACATTACACAAATAGTGAGGTGGTTTAAATTTTCCTCTAAAACTGTAGTATTTTATATACTGTCATTTATAGCTATATGCTACTGACATGTTGGCTAAGGCTGTCTATTTCTTAGCATTTATTTGTTAATTTGTTTATACAGCCCCATATAATTTTAAATAAGATGTTAATTTGCTTATACTGGCAGGTCATATCTAATTCCAGAGAAAATGTAGCGGGATTAAGTACCAATCAAAATATTGTTTCCAGGTAGAAGTTTTGTGTTTGATTTTCTGAGAAGATTAAATATCTTTTAATTGGATCTGGAAATTGACATTATCGTGACTACTGAAATCCGAGTTATACCAGACGAGTTTAATTTAACTATTATAGTATGTGCTTGGTTATTCTAATAGTCATGTTAGTTAATTCACACCTGAGTAATTTCATGTTAAATGAGCTTGCTATGCCTTGAAATTCATAATTTTAGTGATCAAACAAGAGCAAGTGAGGGCCAGATCAAGAAGGGAAAAGACTTGGAAAGTGATTTGCTGGATTCTGACCAAAGGAAAAATGAACTTAAAAAAAATGGATCAAAAACAGAACTGCCCCCGCTTACCTCAGACAAAGATGTTGTACAGACCAAGACTAGAAATCTAACAGGAAAACCTCGCCAAAGTCAGAGTGGACCTCTCATGCCAGGAACCGTGTTAAGTCATTCTACTGCTGAAAGGGCTCGCAACATAGAAAGGTTTCTTTGCCTTTATTACATGCAAACTACTTGAAATCCAAAGTTTGTTGGAGCATAAAAAGTAGTCCTAAATCAGTGGCTTGTTCTTCCTTTAATAACCCTTTATGTCTTCCTCAGAAAAATCAAAATAATCCTTTTTTGCCCTTTCATAACTTCATTATGGTTCTCTTCCAGGACTGAGACTGAAAACCAACAGGTTGAGAGAGCTCAGCAAGTGCGAAGAGCACCTAGTTTCAGTGGTCCTTTAATGTTACCAAACCGAGCTTCAGCAAATAGTTTATCAGCTCCTATTAAACCATCTAGTGGTAAGTTCTTTGTGTGTTTGCTGCAATTACATTTATTCAACTCACCACTTGTTCATAAGCAGCTAAATGAAAGTTGGCTTTACTTTAGGATTTAGAGATTCTTTGGAAGACAAGTCAAAGACCAACTTGGTGCAAATTAAAGGGCGATTCTCTGTGACATCAGAAAATGTAGATCTTGTGAAGGTATGCCGTGCAGAATATTCTCGAGAAACTCATCATTTTAAAATGATAATTTCTGACCTAAATATAAATGTTAGGATATTCCTTTATGTACAGTTCCTCGACGGTATTCTCAAGTAAGTTAGTGAATGTTCTAATTTTTGTTCAAAGTGAGAATGTGAGATTTTATCTTGATCTTTAGACTGCCTTTAATGTAAATATTGTGATATTACCAGACATCACCTCTGAGGAAATCTGCTAGCGTTGGAGAATGGGTTCTTGAGAATAAACAAATGGTTTGTCTACTGTTATCTTCTTCTTGTGCATCAGTACCCTTGGGGCCAAAAGAACAAAAAAACTACATAGACATTCTCTTATAAAAGAAAAGGCCTTCAATTTAATGATCTCTTGCTCCTTTTTCAGCCATCCAATCAGTCAGCTAAGGAAGTTCTCCATGGTAATGTACCTGCATCAATTCTTATGCCCCACCTTCAAAATCTTTTTCAACAAACTTCAATTCAACAGGTATTGCATGCTTATTTAACGTATATTGTTAAATCTTGTCCATGAAACTCACCCTCCTCCCTCTTCTTCTGTTTCCAACTCTTCCTTCTTCAAACATGGTGCTTATACCTTTTAGCATTACAGGATCTCATTATGAGTTTGTTGAACAGTATGCAACCATCCACAGGAGAAGGTGAGTAAAGGATCAAAACTGCAGTGTGTACAGAAACATCCATGTAACAGTGTGTTTTGTTTTACTTACTTTAATTCTCATCTTGTCTCAGCATCTCAAAATGGGAAATCACCTCCGCAACAACGCAATTCAGAGAATAATGGAACCGTGAGTTCTTGTCTTGGTTGTACTACATGCATCTTCTGTAGGATATTCTCACATCATTTTAATTCGTCTGCCACACAAGATTTGTTCTTCTTGGTCTACCTGTAAGATGCCATCAAAGGCTTTATTATCAGAAGGAAGAGAAAGTGTTGTTTCTCTTCCCATATTTCTTGAATTGCATCTTGTGAAAGTGAAAAGACAGCCATAGGAGGCATACTATTAACATTTACTGGTTTTTTATGGATTTCATGGTCAACCAAATTACCAAAATCTTATTTGCTATGCTTTCACTTCTATTATCTTTTCAAGATTTGGCCATTTTTATTTTTGTAAAGATTTTTCTTGATATAAAACACAATGTCAATGTTTTTAAATTGAGAATGCACTGCCTTTTAATGCATTTGGATCCAATATCGCAGGTTGAAACAGCTGCATCTGAGCGGGAACGCTTGCTTCTAGTAAAGATTTCTGAGCTTCAAACAAGGTATGTTTATAAATATTGAATTCATTTGATATTTTTTGTTATATGCTCTTTCTCTAGAAACGCCTCTCTCTCTCTCTCTGCAGGATGGTTAACTTGACGGATGAATTAACTGCTGAAAAATTGAAGTACATGCAGGTGATTATGTGTTTTAAATCTGTTAGTTATGTCTGAAATATGTGGTTGAACTGAATGATGTAATAGGTCAATACTGTTGTAAAATGAAGACGATCTGTTTAATACCCCTTACCAATTACTTAAGACCCCAATCTTTAGGATAGTGCTTTAACTAAAACTATAGTTTATGCCCTTGCAATAACACTTATAGTTATATTGCCGCCACCAGTTGCAGCAACGGTTAAATGCCATGTCAAACCGAGGAGAAGATGGAGACCGGAGAGAAGTGGATTCTTGATGCCATAGGATTCTCATTCAAGTGTAAAAACTATGTATATTCAGGTTTGATATAATTCTGTTTCACTGCCCTCTTTGTTTACAATTTTACTGTATTGTTGCCCACCATTGATATTTCTTTCTGAATCTTCTCCATTCACAGGAAGGAAAGGAGAGATTACCGTGCATGTTGCCGGCTGATGCCCTTTGTTGTCATCTAATGTTTGTTTCAAAGGTTCCAGCCCTCTGTCAAACTGACAAATAAGTGAACCATGCTGCTGCTTATAGAGATACAATTCCTTCATTTATTTTATCAGTACAAGAGGAATCAAGCTTCTTTGTGCAGATCCATGCCTGGTATCCTAATATATAGGGAAAAGGATAAGCGGGTTCTTTTCTTTTTTTTTTTTTTCTTTTATCATGTCCCGTTTGTATCCTCTAGATCCTATATATAAATATATCGATTAATTATCTCTGAATGCAACATGAAATTGTAATTTTGTTCATAAACTTAATGTATTTTCTTTAAGCATACAAGCTCATGTTTACTACGGACTATTGGACTGTTACCATTATGCACATCACCAAAGCCAGATAAATATGATATAAAGGTGCGTAGATTGATGTCAAGCTGATATCGACTGCTTGTGCTCTTCAATTACCATATGAATGTTCACTAGGATGTAACCACTGACGTCTATTTTAGGTACATTGTACAGTAAAGATATGAAACTTAATTTTAAAAAATTGAGATCTCAAGTAAATTTTGTCCTTGGAAGAATTTCTTTACATTTTGGCTCTGTTTAGTAGAGTATATTTTAAAGTTTATAGTTTATTTTAAAATTTAAACTACTAATAAGCTATTAGTTCTGAAACATTGAACAGTTTAAAAAAATAGTGTTTTAGTTTTGAAACACTATTTCAGGTAATGTTTTAAAATAAATTACTGATTTTTTAAATTTTTTTATTAATTTATTAAAATAAGATTACTTATTTTTCATTAATTAAAATTTTAATATCTTAATTTACTTTTTTTTTATACTTAATTAATTTATAATTTATTAAATATTTTAATTTTAATTAATTAACTTATTAGCTGCTAAAGAAAGGCAAGGAGTCTTCTGTTCAGACAAACAATCTGAAGTCTGAAGTCTGAAGTCTGAAGGGTTTAGGTGTTAGAGTGAAGTGTTAGCAAGTGGAGGGGAGTAAAAAGTAAATACAGAGTCTAGACTAACACGATTGGAATAAGTTAAAAGCAGACTGATGTACAGCACAGGCATGACGAGAGTAAGAGGGCTATTTTACTTGGCGAGACTAAACCACCGCCTCAAGTCACCTCTAATGGCCACCGTCACCACCGCCGCCGGAGCATTCTCTTCCTCCCCCTCCTCCTCTGTAAAACTAGTGGGCACTCACAATGGTAGCTTCCACTGCGACGAAGCTCTTGGTTGCTATATGATCCGCCTCACTGACAAGTTCAAGGAAGCCAAAATCGTTCGTACCCGTGACTCCCAGGTACTTTTCTTGCTTTTCATCTTCTGCAATCTATCTGTTTGTTTATGGAGATTATGCGCACGCCTCGTGTGTATGTGTGTGTGCGAGGAATTGTGTTTGCAGATGAACTGTTTGCTGAAATGCTTGATTTAACCAAGGTATTGGAGTCGCTTGACGCTGTGCTTGATGTTGGCGGGGTTTATGATCCTAGTCGAGACCGGTATGATCATCACCAGAAGGGGTTTGATGAGATCTTTGGGCATGGGTTTAGCACTAAGCTCAGTAGTGCTGGTCTTGTTTACAAGGTAAAGCTAATTGCAAGCACACACTCACACTTTGAAGTCCTAAATGTGGTTTGAAGCTGTTAATGAAGGTCATTGGGGTTAATCTTTTTTCATATTAGGGTTTTTAATTTTGGGCTCTTAATTGGTTTTGTTTCTTCCTTAGCATTTTGGGAAGGAGATTATTGCAAAAGAGCTTCAAGTTGAAGAAGGACATCCAGATGTGCATAGGTTGTATCTAGCGCTCTACAGGAGCTTCATGGAGGTATAAAATTATTGCACACTTCTTTAGTGATCACACAGAACTATCCTCTTCCATGGTCGGATTTATTGCAATTGAGTTTTTCTTTTGATATTGTAATTTCACTTATCTCTCTTCTTTAGCACCATTTTGGAAGTCAAATACTTTTCTTGGTCGTTGGAGTAAAAACCACTTTAATGCTTGCAACAGGCTATTGATGCCGTAGACAATGGAATTAATCAGTATGACACAGACCAACCTCCAAAATATGTCAATAATACACACTTGTCTTCACGAGTTGGGAAATTAAACTTGGATTGGACTGAACCTGATCAATCACCCGAGAAGGAGAATGAAGCTTTCTCTCGTGCTATGCATTTAGCTGGCAGTGAGTTTATGGATGTAAGGCTCCTTGGAAACATTTCTCTTATTTATATCTCCTTTTCCTAGAATTATTCTTTGTGCAGGTTTTTCTATTGGCTGTGCTAAACTTTTATGTTACACTTTTGTGTTTAGGGATTGATGGTTGACAGGAACATATCATTCATCTTATTAAACATTAAAAACTGTTGTATCTATATATTTAACATGCTCTTGTATGCTCAGAGTGTTCGTTATTATGCAAAATCATGGTTACCTGCCCGGTCAATTGTTATGGAGTGTCTTTCTTCAAGAAAGGATGTTGATCCTAGTGGAGAAATTATGGTTTTAAACAGATTTTGCCCGGTAAGTATCTGATCCATAACCACATAACAGAACTATTTATGTCATCTTCCACTTTGTTTCTAGTTAAGCAACTCTCCAATTGTGAAAATGAAGAGAACTACTTTGAACAGTTTGACATAAAAGGTTGATTTGAATATATACCTCTTCCAAATATATCTAAATATTTTTAGACAACAATTTCCTTACATTAGTTATCAGCAATTAGAGTAACATTTGATGCTGAAGACCTTATAGTCTAATGGCATTCACTAGTGACTCTAGATAAGAGGTTACAAGTTCAATCACCAGCACTTAGGAGTTGAAAAAAATCAGAGTAACATCTTATTGATGGTAAATAATGAGATGTGCAATATGATAACGAGCTGATGATATATTCATTTAATTTCTGTCAAACAGTGGAAGCTTCACTTGTTTGAACTTGAGGAGGAGTTGAAGATTGATCCGCCACTCAAATATGTTCTTTATCAGGTAGTTATTTCCTTTTGCCTTGTTTGCTTCACCCTTCTTTTCATTTCATTTTCTTTTATCTTGGAGAAATTAATATCATCTAATTTGTCAAGGAATGGTTTCCTTGCTACTTGTATATTCTCCTGAAGAATTCTATTCAACTCTTTTTTCCTTATGATTTGTAGGATGAAAGAGGCAAAAGCTGGCGAGTGCAGGCAGTGGCTATCTCTCCAGACAGATTTGAGAGTCGGAGGCCCCTACCATCACAGTGGCGAGGTCTTAGAGATGATGAGCTCTCAAAGGAGTGTGGGATTCCAAGTTGTGTTTTTGTCCACATGAGTGGGTTTATTGGTGGAAACCAAACCTACGAGGGAGCATTAGCTATGGCAAAAGCTGCATTGAAGCTCTAAACTGCCAAAAATATCACTCCAACCTTCACTTATGTCATTTCATCCCCGTTGCAATTCATGACTTTCACATTGTTGTTTACTTCTAACTTTTAGGTATGATTTATGCTTTCGATAGGGAATTCCTTTTTTATTTTTCTTTTGTTTTGAACATCAACAATATTTGGCTGGTTAATTCTGTAATTCTTGTTAGCATATATGATTTGCTTGGCCTTAACTTAAACATAGTTTCTTATATGTTCTGTTTATTTCATTATATATATATTTACAATTAAATGAGACAACATCATCTTGTGAAACTGTTATAGAGATATAACGTGAATGAACACAGTTTACTATGCCAATGCATATAAATAAGATTGGGGAAGAAATATTATGTTACACATTCAAATAAAAAATTAGAAGCAAATTTGAATTTGACTTAAATTGTTGTAGTCAAGCATGGAAATTACTTTCAAATTTATAACAAATTTTAGTATTCTACAATTAATATTATATTTATTATGTTGATAAAAAATTTGTTTGGTGTGATCCTTAATAATTTTAAAATTATTTTAAAATTATTATATAGGAAATAATTCTATCATATTAAATTATTTTTTTTAAATGCAGTTTTCTTTAGAAAATGTTGGAGTGAGGCAGTGAGGAGAGAGTAATTTGAAGTTGAGGTGAATAATTCAATGATTTTCAGTTACTCCTCTTTCCTATTCCATTTTCTTCGTCTACTCTCCACTGCCCACTGCTCGCCGACCACCAAAACTTGAACAATGGCTACGCTTTCTTCTTCTTCAACATTTTCTCTCTCTACTCTCAAAAAGTCATTCATTTCTTCTTCTCCAACTCCTTCATTTCTACCATTTACTACTCCTTCAAAACCCAAATCCTTATCCCTTACAACCCTAAACTCCAATCTCAAACGACACTTTTCTCTGCTTCAATCCTCCGCCGCCGCCGCCGCTACCCCTGTCACCGCCCCGCAGACCCTGAAAGCCCGCCTCAGGAATGGCGAGACCCTTTACGGGATTTTCCTCCTCAGTTTCTCCCCGACTCTCGCTGAGATTGCCGGCCTCGCCGGCTACGACTTCGCCGTGGTCGACATGGAGCACGGCCACGGCGGCATATCTGACGCTCTCCCTTGCCTTCACGCCCTCGCCGCTACTCGTACTCCGGCTATCCTCCGCATCCCCGAATCGTCTGACGTCTGGGCTAAAAAGGCCCTCGATCTCGGCCCGCAGGGGATCATGTTTCCCATGATCGATAGCCCCAAAGACGCCCGAAAAGCCGTGTCTTACTGCCGCTTTCCTCCCAACGGAGTCCGCGGATCAGCGCACACGGTGGTTAGAGCTTCGGATTACGGAATCGATGCAGGGTATCTCAGCAATTACGAGGAGGAGCTGCTGATAATGTGCCAGGTAGAATGCAAGGAGGGAGTGAAGAAAATCGATGAGATCGCGGGCGTGGAGGGCGTGGATTGCATTCAAATGGGACCATTAGATCTGAGCGCTAGCCTGGGGTACCTGTGGGATCCGGGTCACAAGAAAGTGAAGGAAGTGCTGAGGGCGGCGGAGAAGGCGGTGCTGGAGACTAATCCCGGCGAAGGAAAAGGAGCCTACTTGTCAGGATTCGCAATGCCGCATGATAAACCAGAGAATTTGAAGCAGAGAGGGTACCACATGGTGTCTGGAGCAGTTGATATAGGGTTGTTTAGGACAGCGGCCGTGGAGGATGTAAAGAAATTCAAGAATAGTTTAATGGCGGATGATGAGCAGAGAGAAGACGATAAAGATAGTGAAGAGGAGAAGTACTGGAGTGAGTGAATGAGTTGAGGATGAAATAGGAAAGCAGAATAATAAAGGTTGTGTTTTTATGTTATCCTTATCATCATCATCATCTTTGGACTTGAATTGTGAAATGTAGTTTTGTAGTGCCTACCTAACATTTTATAACATTCAATGCTCTGCTATGCTGCCTGCTTAAATTTCCCATTATTTTGAGCAATAATTTGTTTGCCAGAAAATGTTAAGAGGGAGAAGAAGTGTTTTGAATCCTTTCAAAACATTAGATGTATTCATCTTGTGCTTATTGGAGTGGCATATCTATCATAGTTAATCTTGATATAGACATTGGTAACTTGTTGCATAAAGGATGGATGTCTGATTCTTGTTGGTTGTTGTTTTTTCCCTGAGATCAGAGTAACGTAGGAATTTTTGTTTTGTGGTTTACCCAATTTGTTCTGCATATATATGATGAGATGAAACAATAATTGCAGAGTTACTGTTTGGCGGTTCAATATTGATGCAGGCAAGTTGAAATGCATTTATGAAGAGTGTTGGATGACAGCTCAGATAATAATAATAGAGTTTTCCAGTGGTATTGTCTTCTAAGAAACTGCAGAATAGTTTTCTCATTATTTTCATTCCATTCACCCACACCTTCAAAAATGGTGAAGATTTAGTATGAACCAAAATGTATTCTACTGCACATTCACATGGTTACATGATAGTATTGGGTGGGGTTCGATCTCAGTCACCAACATTGGGGGATTTGGTTTTTATGATGGACACCTTATGCGCAGAAATGTACAGTTTATTGTTGAGTTAACTCGATTTATCTTCTTGTTGATCTGGAATGGATTCATGGGTCGGGTATATATAGTTAAACGAAGTCGGAAACTTCAATTATTAAAAAAAAATTATTCTTATTTTACCATGTGGGTTATATTCCCTAGTCCTAATCCATGTTCACTTGCATCCACTATGTGTGCTTGTCCATATGTGCCATACCATGTGCTATGATTATTCATATAATTGACTAAATTATTCATTTTGCAAAGTTTGTGAAACTTCTTTCCTGCCCCTTCACAGCTTCCTCTCTGTATGCCAACTAAGCTCTATTGTTCGGGTCGAACCCAATACCTCTTTAGAAACAACTTATAGTATGTTAACCGCTAATTTTTAAACAAGATCCAAACTTGAACCGGATCATTGGATCCTGTCCTGAGTTTGACCTGGATTGATTTCCTCACCAATATGTCTATTAACAAGGTAGATCCAAGAAAAGATTTTAAGTATTCACTAATTACAACTTTACCAATAATAAAATACCCATAATCACCACCATTAATCCACTATGTTGCTTATAATCCCCATAAAAGTAAGGGTCACTTTGGTAATCTCCCACTTTGTCCACTCACAGTTATATCCCCCTGGCCAATAATATTTGCCTGGTTTTCCCAAACCTCTGCCTCTCTCCAGATTTGAGAAAGAAGGAGGTGGGAAATGGCTGCTCTGAGAGTCCCAAGAAATTGCCATTTCTGGAACTGTCTTCTTTTTCTCCTGCTTAACCATGCCTCCTCAGTCTTCTGCTACCAATACAAGGTTGGAGATTTGGCTTCTTGGAATGTACCCTCCTCCTCAAATCCAGATGTTTATATCAAATGGTCCAAGAATCAAACTTTCAAGATCGGAGATTCACTCTGTAAGTCCTGTCCTGTCCTGTTCACCATATAATATATAAACATAAACGTGCAATCAGCTTAGACTTTAAGTTGAGATTGAACGAATACTTCAATTAGTTCTTCTATTTATCTCAACTTTCTTTTTTGATAATCTGCAGTTTTTCTGTACCCTCCGAGCCAAGATTCAGTGATACAAGTTACAAAGGAATCTTACAGGACCTGCAACCTGAAAGATCCAATCTTGTACCTCAACAATGGCAACTCCCTGTTCAATATCACAGCTCCGGGCAACATTTTCTTCATCAGTGGCGCAAAGGGTCACTGCCAAAACTCACAAAAACTCCAAGTTTTTGTGGCGGGTGGGAATGGATCCGCGGGTTATGACGACGGTGCAGATATACCCATTGCTTCTGCTCCCGCCGCCGCCGCCGCTGGGCCTTCTTCTAATGACTTTGGCTCAATCCCAAGCCAGCATTCATCTTCTCCGTCGCTAAAAACTCCCATATCAGCCGTGTCGGCGGCGATTTTGGCTCTGATTGTGAGCAGTTGCATATAGACAGGGCTACAGTCATGTGAAAGTGACGGTATAGGCCAAGAAAAAAGTTTTTTTTTTTTTTTTACTACTTTTTATAGTGTTTTATGATGTTTTGAGTTGAATATTTCCTTCTCCCATTCATTATTGATGCCATATTGTATTACACATTCTTTCAGAAGAGAGCAAAATTACTGTCATTTTGTTTGCATGCTTTAATCAATAAATTTGTTACTTGGAAAGATTTTTTCGTGTTATTACACCTAGGAATGACAATTTTACTTGCATCTAATGGGTAGTAAATTACACGTATAATCTTTATCTTTATATGTTTATATATATAATAAAGCAAAATCTAGCCACAAAATTTCCCTCTAAAGTGTGAATGCATTTTGATAGAAACAAGATTAACAAATATAAATGCATTAATTATGTGAGTAGATGTATTTATACATATTTTTTTGAAGTATGTGTATTTATATTTTACAAATTATATTTTATTATTATAGCTCTATCTATATATATATATATATATATATATATATATATATATATATATATATATATATATATATATATATATATATATTAAAGCATAATGAAGTATGAAAAAAGTTTATTGTGTTCAAATTTATTGGTAAAGTTTTATATTTAATATAATTTGTGTATATATTCATTTAGATCTCAATTATAATTAATTTGACTCCACATATATAAAAGAGGAGAAATTAGATATAATAAATATAGTTCTTAAATAATCCTTTTCAAATGAATAAGTTTTTGGTGGAGATTTTTGACAAATATCATCTGTTATTTTATTTACAAGTTTTATTTAAATACGTTAGATATATAATTAAAGTAGTTATTTCAAATTCAAATTCCTTACAAAAAAAAATTCAAATTCAAATAATAATACAAGTAACAATAAACTTTAAAATCAACATAATAATAGCATAATTAAACTTTTAAAAATATTAAATATTACATTGTATAGTTATACTTACATTTTTAATCAAACTAATTCTGAACTCAAGAACTCAAGTACATTTTTCTATTTCTACAATCATTACGTTCTTTGCTAATTCAGAGGATGTCAAAAATTTAATTGGTAAATTTGTTAAATTAATAATAGTTCATGCATCGCACAGGACAATCACTAGTTTGGGTAATAAGTATAGGATGACGGAAATTTTCTTTTATACCCGCACGGGTATAGAGGAGAGTGCAGGGAGAAGTATCTCTACTCCCACTTTCTTTTATTTATTTTGAACCTTACCTTTAAGATGGCATGTAGAGATTTGAATTTATGGCACGTTTGATTCGCAGAATAGGCTTAAAATGGAGTAACATCCCCAATAATAGACCTGGAATAGAATATTCTTGTCCTTCCTTACTCCATTAGTATTCCTAACCAAATCATACCTTTAAAAAAAAAAAAAAAAAAAGGGAATATGCGATGCTTTTTTATTTTTTTTATTTTTTTTTTTAAAAAAGGCATTAATCATTATGCAATTTTGTACTGAGCTTTAGGTTTTGCACTTTTGTGGTTTTGAATGCCCAGTAAGCATAAACTTCAATGTATTCTTTTTGGATACAAAACAAATTTTAAGAAATTAATAGTAAAAGTACTGATTATTACAAATGTTATAAATAATTAAAAGTAAAATCATTATTATTATATTATTTATAAACACTCTATCTTCACTTTTTTTTTTTTAAATAGTAGTTGATGCTTTTACTGTTTTGTATTATATAAATATATAATATAACACAAAAAGCAGTTTAGGAATAAATTTTTTTTTAAAAAATTACTATAATTGATGACTAGGTTTGCCTAACAATCTAAATATGTCTCTAAACATTCCATCTTCGGTAGTAATGGTGGAAGTTGATTGCTCTTTACCAGTTAATGGAACAGATCGCTTTTATGGCATAGTAGTTCGAGATAGCAGTGGTGGATTCGTTGCAGGTAGTGAGAAGTGGACCAATACGCTGTCTGAATGACCCTCATCTTGCAGAGACGATGACAGTTAAGGAAGTTTTTTTATGGACTTTTGAACAAGGCTGGCGCAATATTGTTTTAAAATCAGATTGTCAGATGGTATGCAAGTTTTTAAATAGTGGCTCAGCCGATCATTCTTATGCTGGTTGTGTTATCAAGCATTGCTGATCACTTAAATGATACTTTGAATCAGTGTTTATTCAGTATATCAATAAATCAGTGAATAAGCTAGCTCACACGTTAACTAGAGCAGCTAATTTTCACACTGGTCATCTTAGTTGGTTTTTTAATATCTCATATTGTATTCAACGTTTAATTGCTTGATTTTAATAAAGTTTTTTTCTTTAAAAAAAAAATAGATATTAACTGGTTAGAAATTCAAAAGAAACAGCAGAATAATGTCGGCAACGTGAAAGACACGATTCATTAACTTAAATCACGCTAGCTGGACTGCCGGGGCCAGGAATTAAATAAAGCATCAGAAATTGTTAAGTAAATGGATCTTCAACTTGACAAAAATTTTATTAAAATTCGTAATTCATTTCATGAAGGCAGTTCTTTGCAAAACTGAATTCTATGTTATTAATGTTTGTGACTGCAAGTTTTATTAATGTTCCAGCATGTTTACATTAATTGTTCATCAGATCTGACTCAGTATACTATATAGTTAACTGAATTGATGAGATGTATTAGGACTCTATCTATGTATTTGAGTCTATTTATGATTCCCAATCCTAGTTTCTCTAAGTCTATATATACCTAGGTTTTGTACTCTTGTAATTGATCACTGTTAATATAATTCATTACAGTTCTCATCTGGTATCGGCTAGCTAAGGTTTCTATCCAATGACCAACGGATATGTCAATTCCTCTGAACAGATCGTTTTTTATGCCACTCTCTCATCGGTTACTTCAACCGTAACCACCCTCTCTGCGGCTCGTCACTTCATCAGTGTCAAATTGACTCATCGGAACTTCTTATTTTGGAGGGCTCAAGTTGTTCATTTTCTCAACAGACATGACCTAATGGGTTTCATTGACGGAACCAATCCCTACCGCCAGCCACGATCTCGTCCGGCGAAGACGGAGCGCCACCTCTGCCGAATCCTACCTATCATCCATGGGTTCGGCAGGATCAGGCGCTTCTCTCTATGCTCATGTCATCGTTGTCTGATGAATTCATGTCCTTGGCTATTGGATCTCACACCAGCTGTGCAGTGTAGACTGCCGTTACCTCCACACTTGCCTCTTCATCTCGGTCTCGCTCATTGAACCTTCTCGGGCAACTTCAGACGCTGCAACAAGGTGATGCTTCCGTCACTGACTATATCGACTGGGTACAGGTTCTCATTGAGGATTTAACTCTCGTCGGCTGGCACATTCCGCTGGAAGAACAAAACCTTTACGTATTCCGTGGTTTGTAGCCTGAATTTCAGGGTATTGTATCTTCTCTCAATGTCTGAGGAACACCGGTGAACCTCCATGAACTCTCGGACCTCCTCGGCACCGAGGAGTTCGTTGCCGACAGTGGAGGACCGTTGCCGGCAGCTTTTTCCGTCCAGAAAATCGGGCAGCAGCAGTGCAGTAGAGGTGGCCAGTCGCGCGGTAGCGGACGTGGCTCCGAGCAGTCCGACGGGCAATCCCGGCAGTCTTGTGGCGGTGGTGGCGACCGTCGCGGGAATGGCGGTGGTCATGGTCGTGGTGGTAGGAACGACAATCACCAACCGAAGTGTCAACTTTGTGGAAATTTTGGGCACTAGTAGTCTTATACCCACCGTATGTACGCCCTACCGGTCGGAACCTGTAGGTCGCGCAGCCCCAGCCAAGTCACGACCGGTTCCGACCGACTTGGAAGCGAAACCTTCCCGACCGAGGCGGTCGGGAAGGGGCCTCGAGAGGCAGCGGCAGAAGACTTGCGCCACGTGTTGATGCTCCTTGGGCAGCGTGCCCTCGGGTGCATGACGGCCACACGGCCGACATGCCGAGACCTCGGATCTTGCCCCCTCGCCATCTATAAATACCCGCATTTATGACGCGAAGGGAGACTTTTGACTCTTTGCTTGACCAGAGCTTATTGACCCACTGTCGCCCGCTCCCGAGCTCAAGCCTTGTACATTGTCAGTGTACATATGGACCACCGTATATACTTTATTATTTTGGCGCCGTCTGTGGGGACCGGTACGAGAAGCCGCTTAGTACGACAACTACCGATCCCAAACGCTATGTATCCGTTCGTGAACCCCCGCAATGACGCAGAAGCCGAATTGAGCTCCTTAGATTTTCGCTCACACCTCAGTTCACGACTAGATGTCAATAGCTCCCCGGGGAGAGGCCCGACCCCCGACCTTGTCAATTTCGTCCAGCAAGGGCAGGCCTACCCCGCAGCGGCGGGACAGATTCCTTTCCAATACCCTGTATACCCGCCTGGAATGTATGATCCCGCCTACCAGTTTTGGCATAGCCCACCATGGTTCTACGCCCCGCAGTACCCGTACCAGCCAGCCCCGCTCGCTTACCAATCGTATCCGCAAGCGCCGAGGCCCAGTACGCCAGAGCCCGCACCTTCGCTCGGGACTTCGCGAACCGTTGCGCCAGAGTTACGCCGAGCCCAGTCGGAGCGCCGCCCTGCGCGATCCAGGCTCGGACCCGAAGACCCTCCATGTGAAAACAGCGAAGGACAAAATGCAAGGACTAGCGCATTCGCTCGACTCTGCCAACCGGTACAGCAGCGCCTGGGATCTCGCGACGAGGTTCGCGAATCAGCAGCCGGGCCCGCAACCAGTCTTCAAGAAGGGTCAGGGGAGGTCAGCTCAGCCCGACCGGGCCGTCAGAGAAGGGCCGAAGGAAAAGCTCGGAACAACACGGAAACCGATGCACGGGGATTGCTCGACCAAGTCTGACAGGAGGTCAATCGCTTGAAGCAAGAGCACGGCTCCGACCCCTTGGAAATGGTTTCGCCGTTGCTACGAACCCCTTTCACGGCAGAGGTCATGAATCAGCCTTAACCACACGACCTCCGGGTTCCGGGCAGCAAGGACTACGATGGGAAGACCGACCCCGAAACGCATGTTAACTCGTATTACGGCAACATGTTGATGATGGGCGTCACCGACGCCGTGATGTGTCGAGCCTTCTACTCCACATTGACGGGCAGAGCAGCAGATTGGTTTAAATCGCTAGAACCGGGGTCTACCTATGATTCCAATGTATTTGAGTTACTTAATCTATGTATTTGAGTCTACTTATGATTCCCAATGTATTTGAGTTACTTATGATTCCCAATCCTAGTCCCTCTTCTTATATATATACTTAGGTCTTGTACTCATGATTCTCATACCTAGGTCTTGTACTCTTGTAATTGATCTTAATACAATTCATTACACTTCTCGTCATACGTTCTTTGATTTACGAAAAATTTGTCGTTCTTTGATTTACGAAAAATTTGTTGTACACTGAGTGAAGTTGACTCTAATCATCAAAGTTAAAAGGATACATGAATAGGCAGAAACTTCATAAACATAAATAAAATATCAGAGACAGGCATATTAGCCCAATTACAATTAAAATTGCAACGAAAATGATCAAAAAAATAATAATAAAATTATTAGCCAACTGAACTGTTACATCATATTTCAGCTACTGTTTCAAAATCTTTTTCCACTGGCAACTATGAACATATGATACTTGGTGAACTCCATCTAACAACAAATTTCATATAAAGGCCAGGAAGGAACTCTCTTTCTCTATCCCTCTCTTGAGTATTTGATGGAACCAACCAAATTGCAAATACAAGTACAGGTACACTACTACAAAGGCAAAAGTCGCGATTTCAAATATTTATTTGATTACAGCAGAATCAGATGATCACAGTAGTTCGTTAACTGCTTATCTGATCTATCCTTCAGTTGGATAGGCAGATTCTGTATTCCTGATTTGACCAGAGGCAGTGTCCACTTCCATTGCAGCTGCTCTTGGAGGTGATGCAGGCTGTACCTCCACATCTGGATAAGCCGCCTTGAATCTTGCCCTCAGCCCTTCATCAACTAATCGAACCCCTTGCAATTGATTTCCAAGTGAAATCCATCTGATAGAAGACAACGACGACACTACTTAGTTCAGTAATATACTAACAATGTCAATAAATTAACCAAACACATAATATTAAGGTCTGTGAATGGATAGAGAAAGAAATACCCGGCATGAACATTATGCATTCGTGCAAACAGCTCCAGCTTTCTTGTCCTTGGACTTACCCTCTCCAGCATGGCATACATCTGTGAGTACACACGCAAATCATTTATAAATATATAAATAAAAACTATTGCCCCTGGGCAGAGGGCACTCCTAATTCAGTAACAATACCTAACCGAGTAAAGCTATAAAAGTAAAACAATCATTCCACAAGGCCCTGTTTGGTAAAATAGTTAGCCTATTAGCCAATTTTGGCTTATTTGACCACTATTAGCTGTTTGACTTGGTTAAATAGCCAATATATAAGTGTTTGATTAATTAGCTTTTTGTAACAATTTATTGCTTCAAAATGCTAAAATTCAAAAAGCTGCTCAAAGTAGCTTTTTCGATCAGCTTTTTTAGAAAGTCATTTTGTATGTAAGCAGCTAACTGCTAACAGCTAATTTACCAAACACTTTTCTACAATCAACTAATGCTATCAACTAGTCAAACCCACTAACAGCTATCAGCTAACAGCCATTTACCAAACACCCACAAGGAAGTGTTAAGAGTAAAGCCAAAATTGATAGACAGGGCTCCAAACCCAAAATAATGAATGCTTAAATAGTATGCCTCAAACCAAAAAATATTGCTTTTTACTCACCTCATCTGGCTTGCGACTTGTTTCACGAACCTCAGCAACAATGACATCAGTGTCGATATTCCTGTTGACCTCCGGATTACCCTTGATGCCAACCAGGCAATGCTCTTTACTGTGGTTGAGCCAATGACCAGTTCGACCTGTTCTGATAATTCGCTGAAGTTGATTGGTCTTTACCCAAATAATCTCCTCAACACGCTTGTAACCCCAAAGTTCTAAACTGCAGGAAGCACAATGTATTGATGCTATCTATAGTCAATAATCAGTTATTAATACTTCTAATTAATAATTTATCTTTAAAACATAATACAGACAACTTATTTCAGCATCTAAACTTGGAATCACTTCCTGGTTTTGAATTAGAAGTTATCACTTCAAATCCGTAACTTTATTGAGGAAAATCACATTTTCACTTGCTCAGTTCCATTTCAAACTTTCCAACCAATTTTATTTTTTTTTAAATGCCCAACTACAACAAAAAGCAAGAAAACAATACTCTTGACAACCACAAACTGCAGATTTTCATAAGAAACTGAAACCAATGTGTTATTTACCCAACTCTACAAGATGCATAAACTACCAGATAAGATCCATCTGGTGGTATACTTCACATCATTTTTAATATAGCAGAATCTATAGGTTCATTTTCATGACCATAAAAGCATAAATGTTTTCATACAAGTACTGATTCAACAGAAGAATAAGATTGCATACCATTCACGTCCGAGCTCCATAGCTCTTCCAGTTACCCAAAGGAATATCATACCATCAGTCTGAAGTGCAGGCACATTTAGAGTGCGCATTTCATCATCAGCCATTGTTCCATAAGGTAATTCCATATGAATGTCCCAAGGTGGATCAGCCATGATTATTCCAAACTGTCCTAAAATATCCATTCTGAATGAGCGAATATCACAGTTTATCCATTGTGGTTCACCAAGCTCTACTTCTGAACAATAGTGAGCACGTTGCTGTGAGGGCTTGGGGGTAGGTAAGGCACCTGTTCCCATCATATGATGGGACATATCTGGTGTAGAGTCAAGCTCATAATGCACATACTTGCAAGTCTGTCAATGTAAAAATAAATAAAAAATCAAAGTATATTAAAAATTAAAAATCAGCAATATGCTTCCAGATAAATCAACAAAATTTATTGTGTCATAAAATAAAACTGAATTTACCTTCATATGACGACATGTATCAAGGAAAGAGCAATCACCCAAATTAACATCAGTATGTGCAGCAATTATGCGCCGGAAATGAACCTAATATTCAGCAAAGCCAAGTTACAATGTCAGTTGAAATCAAGGCATCTTTTATGCTATGTATGGTTGAAAGGGTTTTCTATAGCTTCAAGAAATATTCTGCTGAAATGGGATTAATTTTAATCTTATGTTGCATATTTAGAGGTTAGATTTGTAAGGCTTCAGTCCGACTCTGACCTTCTCACAAGCCATGAAAGAACCAGATTGACGTCGGCAATCTTCTTTTGTTAATGCTGAGCAGTATTCCTTGACTTGGGAACCACCTTTGCTTTTAAACTGAGGTTAGAGACAAGTGATAGTATTAGCATCAATCAATATGATTAAAATGTGAGTAATTCATGGTGATTAAATGCACTTACTAACTCAAATAGATGATTAATACTGAACCACTGTAGTGTTTATAATAAGAATGCAAATTTCCATAAATACAGGAACCTACTTCAAACAGAATTTGATTACTTGTTCAAAGGATTGTATATCTCGAAAATTCAAACCAGTCTTGAGATTGCAATGTGAAACAGTACATATAACTTCATACTACAAAGCAAGGAATGAAAAAGTAATAAAAAAGGTAGAAATTTGAATACCTTTGCAGCAACAGCAGTCTCCCTGGCTGTAGGTCGGTGAATAAGGTCCAATAGCTCCTCTCCAGTTTTAGATTTTTGGATTTCCATGAAACTCTTCTTATTCAACAAAGCCTCAAGATCTTTCATATCATCTTCTTCAGTCCTAGGCTTCATATTTGAATTTGCCCCTCCAACTTGAGCATTTGGTCCAATTGGGGGCCTGGACATTGGAGGTGGCACACCAACCCCTCTTGGCATCCCCATCATTCCCACCATCCCTCTTGGAACACCTCTCATTCCCATATTCCCTGGAAACATAGGAGGCAATCCAGACATATGGGGCGGGTGTTCTGCAGGCCCTCCTCCCATCCACATATCAGGCATTGGCCTCCCGGATCCAAAAACGCCTCCGTTATTAACATCACTACCGGTTTTCAATAACTCCTGGTTCCGATTTCCTTCAATTGAACCACCACCACCACCACCACCCTCATTCTGTTGCTTACTCTCTGGCAATTCTTTCAAAAGACGAGTCCTATCTATATTCATAACCAAAACCCTAGCTTTCCCACTCACCACAAATTCCTCCAGCTCAACCCCACCATTGTCGTCTGCCATGGACTTCAAAGCCACCTCCACTGCCAGTATCGGTCCAGACTCCCCTCCAAGCTCCCTGAGCGCTGCCCTGTCAGCGGCAGTAGCCGACTGGTCATTCTCCAGCTTCCTGAGCAGCGTTGAGGAATCAATCGGCGTAAATGGCACTCTCTCCAGCAAACATACCGCGACCATTGCCCTCACCACCGACAACGCTCCCCCGCTCTCATCAATGTCCATCTTCTCATTCTCCAATCTGGAAGCCTCCGGAGAAGGATTTCCCCTTGCAGAAGCGATTTTGGGATCCGAGGAGGGCAATTTGGGGCCCCGAATGTTAGGGTTAGGGTTAGAGGAGAGAGTATGAGGAAGAGGGATGAAAGGGCGGCCGCTGAAGCAAGAGATTGCCTTGAGCGAGAGGTCAATAGAGGAGACGATGTTGGGAACGAGGTTCTGCAGCGAGGCGATGAGGTCCAGCTGAGCGTTGTGTACAGTGGTCGCACGAGATTCTAGCTGTTGCCGCATCTCCTTGGCCGACGCCATCTCTTCGTTCCGGCCGGCCGACTGTGCCTCCATGTACGTTGGGTTGCTCAACAAGTGACGAAGAAGACGATGTAAAGTTGGCTACTTTTTTTGTTATTACAGTCTGCGCGAGAGAGGGTTTTTGGGAGGTTTATTTACGTTCGTTAGAGTGAAGTGTGAAGAGACGACTCACGACTAGACAATAGGGAAGAGCTCAGATTATAATCTTTCTCAATTCTCAGTTATGTGTTTTTAGCTGGGACTGAGAGTAGAGCTGTTAATATGGGCTGGCAGGACGGGCCAAAGTTCAACGGGCTACAAGTTTAGATGGGGCGCATAAAAAAGTTCTACTTCTTAGCGGACTTGGATTTTACTTGCTCAGTTCCCGTCCGCACTTAGCTCGTGGGCTGACAAAATTTTCTCGAACAGTAAAATAAATAAATAAATAAATAAATAAATATATATATATATATATATATATATATATATATATATATATATATATACACACACACACACACAAAAAAAAAAAATTAAATAAGTGGCGGGCAACTTGCAAGACAGGTCAAAAAAACCGCTCTTTAGATTTTACTTGCTCAGTTCGTGTCCGCACTTGGCTCGTGGCTGACAAATATATATATATATATATATATATATATATATATATATATATATATATATATATATATATATATATATATATATATATAATTTTTTAAATAAGTGGCCGGCAACCCGCGGGGCAGGTCAAAAAAACTGCTCCTTGATGGGCTGCTATTTTCGAAATCACCCCTACTTAAGTAGGGGGTGGGTGACACAAACACACATAAAACTATATTTTGTGATATTCATATATCTATATCAGATTGAATATATACTTCCTGGAATACCCCGACCGACTTGCCACGTGTTTTATCGTTGTTTAGGCAGGATTACAGGTCGGATATTCCTGAAGGAACCCGGTCAGACACGACCGGCGCAATTCCCGAGCGATGTCTTCAGCACCCGATCGGTGGCCCTTGGACGAGAGAGCTGGGAAGAAGCACGTGGCAACGTTACGCGCTGACAGGCAGGGCTCGCGGGGTGGTGACACGTGGTTGCTACGTGGGTTACATGCCGGCTAGCCGGAATTGTGTCTCCGGCCTAGTGGCTATAAATACCCGCGGCGGCAACAGTGTAAGGGACTTTTGGAACAATCAATAGGCTATTTACAGACCCGCCCGACCGCAGTCAGTTGGCCCTCGGAATAGTCATTTAGATTGTATTAGGTCCTTCTTCACGATCAATAAAAGACTTTATTTGCTTTGACTTGGTCGTGCTTCTTACTTTAACCGCATTACGTGGTATTTACACTATCATTTTGGCGCCGTCCGTGGGGACCTGTGCACGAAAGCTAATGTCTGACCAACACCGGTTCTATCTGTCACGATGTATCCGTTCATGTATCACACTCTAGGCGATGATCAAGCAGATGCAGCGAGCTCATCCGATCACCAGCCCACGCAGTATCAAGGTCAGACCGTTGACCTCAACCTTAATCTATCACTGTAACACCCCGTGTTACGATCCCTAAAACCAATTAATCATTTAACCAATTACCCAAAAGAAAGAATTAAATAACAATAATTAATTAGGAAAGACCCACCATAGTCCACGGGCCCTTATCCCTAACCCAATCCTTGGTCCCAAAAGGAATAGAATTAGCAAGCCTATAATATTAGTTCCTAATTAGGACTCCTAAATATATAAATAGGGGACTTAAGAGGCACCTAGAACTCCCACCACAATAATCTCTCACCACACCAAGAATTCCAAGAATTCCCCTAGGAGAAATCAAGAAAGAAGAAAGCTTAAAGAAAGACCCTTCATAGCCAAGGAATCAATTAAGGCTAAGAGGTAACCCATGTCTCAACAAAACCTATTTTCATAGCTATGATTCCCCTCTTAGGATTTCCCCATATTATTGTGTATTGATGATTTGTGATATTATTATTGATGATTGGTGGGATGATTCCATGGGTGATCTTGATGATGAAAGGTTCTTGATAATTATGACGTTCTTGATGATTATATGACGTTCTTGATGATTATATGGTGTTCTTGATGTTCTTAATGATTATATGAGGTTCTTGATATTTATATGATATTCCTACCGAATCTTGATTTTGGAAGATGAATTGTGTTCTTGTTGATTTAAAAATAATTAGAAGCCTAGGTTATATCGTGGAATTCGTATGGAATTATTCTTGGTATATTGGGTGGGAATTCGCATGATTGGGTGTTGATTATGTTTAGAAAAGCATGATAGATTATGTGCCGTATGTTTCTTGATTTTGATCCGTTAATTGTCTACGTGTGTTATCAATTGCGTTTGAAAGTGTCTAAGCATGGTTTCGGGTTCCACAAAGGTTCCCGGGGCGTTTTTGGTGAAAAAGAGTCAGTGGGGGGTAGGGGACCCGCCACCTACCCACGGCCAAAAGAGGCATCGCCGGCAGCGGGCAGCTGCCCGCCGGGCACCCGCTGCCCGGAACAGTGCCGCCGGCGGGTGACCCCTCACCCACCGGCTACCCGCTGGTTTGTACCCCACCTTGGGATTTTGGCTTCCCCGTTTGATGTTCCCCCGACCCCCGTGGTGTCCCAACGGACTCCGTCTATCGTGCCTATGTCTAGTTTGATATTTCGGGTACCGTTCGTAGGTTGTATGAGTCTTATATATTGCATGCTAGTTGAATTGGTATCCCATTGACCTAGGTGAAAGAAGTATGAACCCCTTAGGATTATTCTTAGTATGTGAAGGATCACGCATAGGTTTTGTTATACGTTTTCTCCCCCTTCCCAATGTGTTAATGTGGGTTGCATGTGCTAGCTATGTGTTATGTGTGCATGATACCCCAATTCGGTTGCGATCGGATTGGTTATTCCTGAGCTGCGGTTCAGAAGCTGGCTGCGGTCAGATTTACACTCTTGGGCTGCGGTCCACCGTTTGGTTGCGATCAAACGTTTCTACATGAGCTGCGGTTCATATTTCCTGGTTGCGGTCATATGACATACTCTTGGGCTGCGGTCCACTGTTTGGTTGCGATCAAACTATGATGAGCTGCGGTTCATTGGTCGGTTGCGATCGACCCCTCCGTGTTGCGATACGGGGCAGGGTGCTGCGGGGCCGTGTCAGAGCTATATGCGCTGACCTTCATGTATGGGCATGCGATTGGTCCTGTGGCGCCAACAAAGTGTGCTATGTGATGAGATACGGATGAGTTGTTGTTATGAGTATCTTGGGGATGTGACTATGGGATTTATACTAGGAATCGTATATGTTGGGTTATGATTATTAATTATGCTTATCTTTACCTGTCTTGCCTGTTTGTAACTATATATGTTTGGTATAACTGTTGTCTGTGCTTAGCTCTATCTGTCGAGTCTACCCCTGATTTAAAAGCTAGAGTTCGTAGGATATATCTTCATGTTCAAAATGGTTTTCGTATATCTATATATATCTCTATATCTATTGTATTTCAACGCGTTGGAGTGGGTTACCAGCATCTCTCGCTGAACAGATATATTTGGCTTTCAGGCACAGACGAGTAGATCACTGGAGCCCGCTAGAAGCTTGGGGCGTAGCTTAGATAGTTTTCCCTTTCGGCCTGCGTGCCATGATTTAGTATTGATACTGATTGAGGTTTTAGAATTTAGCCTGTGCACCCGAGTTCTCTAGCTCGGGTGTGGCATAGCACCCCGTACTCTTTGTATCGTATTTTGGGATTTAATGAGTTTCTATCTTTATTATATAAGTTTTAAAAGTCTTGAAAATCTGGGGTGTTACAATCACCGCCTCATCCGACGGCACAGTACCCTGTCGCCCAGCAACCGGTCAGCTACATCCAACCGGGGTATCCACCACCCGGCCAGCAGTTCCAGTATCCCGGGCAATATCCGTACCCGATCCCACCTCCAAAATATGGGTATTGGCCTGGTCAATCGATGTATTACACACCCCCGACCGGCTATCCCCAGTATATGCCTGTGAACATGGCTCCTGCCTCCGCTCCTCCGATTTACCCGACTATCCCGACTGAGCCTGAGCTTCAGCCCACTTTCCGAGCTAGGCGTTCGGCTCGTTCGAGGTTGGGGTCGCAGGGTGCCGAGGCCATGGAGGTACCACGGCAAGCCCAGCAGGTACAGCCGGAGATGCAAGCCCCAGTGGAAGATCCCGAAGAACAGGCCAATCGGGAAGTGGCGTTCGAGCGGCTCCGCCCAGCCATGCGGCAACGATTGGGACCACAGGACCCGAGCCGGCACTCGGTAGATTTACCGATAAAAGAAGCCAGCCAAGAGGGCTCATCTGGGCATAGTGGGTCAAGATCACATCGTCCACGACGCGCCTGGGAACCGGCCCAGACCCAGACGATTGAGCTTAATGAGACCCGAGGACTGCTCAACGACCTCCAAGCAGAGTTTAATCAATTTCGAAACGAGCACGCAATGAGGCCCCCGGTCGATCAATCAGCCTCCTTGCTGAGGACACCCTTCACGGCGGAGATTATGGCCTAGCCTTACCCGCTCGATCTGCAAGTCCTGGGCAACAAGGGTTATGATGGGAGAACGGACTCTGAGGTCCACGTGAACACTTATTACGGCAACATGATGATGATGGGCGTGTCTGACGTCGTGATGTGTAAGGCTTTCTATTCCACGCTCTCCGGTCGGGCGGCGGAGTGGTTTCGTACATTGCAGCCGGGTTCCATTTCTGATTTGGCCACTTTGGCAATGAAGTTTATGCGGAAGTTCGTTACTTCCAAGATTGTGAGAAAGCCCTACATGTACTTGGAAAAGGCCAAGCAGCTGGAGGGGGAGAGCTTGTCCGAATTTTTGGTCAAGTGGAAAGCCGCGGTCGGGGAGGTTGAACTAATGGATGATCTTACTGCCATCCGTATGCTCCACATTTTCCTCCGAGCTGGCTACTTATACCAGGACTTTATCCTCCATCCCCCGACCACTTACGAAGAGGCCCTTCAAAAGGTGACGGATTATGCTAATGCTTGAGAAGCGAGCGCCGTCAAGAAATCGCAGGAGGTCGGGACTTCATCCCGCAAACCCACTGGTCGGGCGGAACATCGATCGGGTGATGATCATCCCCGACCCCGCACCCGGCCTGGCGAGTTTACGGCTTTGAACCGATCCGCGGCGGAAGCTATGCAGTACGCCCAGTCTTGTAATCTCATTCGCTTCCCTCATCCCGGGC